ATCCCCTGCCATAGTGAAAAACTATAAACTATACCATACCATTTTCTTTCTTCTGAGATTATGCTTTAAAAATACCTAATATTTGCACTAATATGCAAATAAAGATGAAAAGTAATCCCTCCCCCCCACACACATATACTTCCTCTCTTCCTCCATTTGTCCTATATCTCAATTGGAGTTAATTCCAATGCTTCTTAGGGATAAATCTTAGAGACACCTGGAATTCATGGATTGGTAGATTGTGTAAGGACAGTCAACTTGAACTGAAAAGGAAACAACTGAAATACTACTTCCATATGTTATTAATAGATTATTAGCTACAGAATTATGAGTAAACCCAATGAATATCCCTGACCAGGAAATAGTTATTTTGTAGTTTTAGACTAACCTCTGTTGAAAAGAATGGACATTCTTACTAAGCTGTATTAATTTTTTGTTGAGTTTTCACTTTTGGTGCAAAACAAATAACAGTTAATGACCAAATCATTGACAGAGATTTTGGGACATTCACTCTAGATAAGCATAATATAACAGGTAGATTTTTTTCTTTTTTTTCTTTTTGCACCAGGGATTGAACTCAGGGACACTGGACTACTGAGCCACACCCCCAGCCCTATTTTTGTTGTTGTTGTTTGTATTTTATTTAGAAACAGGGTCTCACTGCTCACTGACTTGCTTAGCATCTCACCAGATATTTTTTAAGTTAACTAAACTGGGAATCCAGAGACATGAACTCTTCAATTATATAGTTGTGACCCTGGAGATGTCATCGAATCTCTTTGGGTCACAATCTCTTGTCATAGATGGCTCAGTGAACTTCTTTGTCTCTCCTGCCTCTTGAAGTACTGGAATTCTTTAAAATAGCATTAGCCTGTAAGCTTTGTGCTGCCCAGTCTGGTGATGACTAGCTGTGGGTACTTGGCCCTCAGTGCTCCTCTCTTCTCCTACCTATGGGATCATTTTCTATGAGAAGGATATTTTAATGGGGTTGAATGATCTCAAAATCTCAGGCTTAACTCCACTCCTTATGGCCTCTGAAGCTTATAATAATTCACTTAACCTCTCTAAATCTGCTACCTTAAGTGAAAAAAAAAAAAAAAAAAATATATATATATATATATATATATATGGCTTAAGTAGTAGGTTACAGTAAGGATCAAGTATAAAATTGCATATAAGTTGTAATTTTTTATTAAACAAAATGAATGATGTCTTTAAGGAATTGTGCTTTGAACTTCTTTAAAAGCCTTTAAAATGTTGCTCAGTGTCTTAGTTTATTCAGGCTGTTTTAGTAAAATACCACGAACTGGGGGGCTTAAAGACCAGACATTGTTTTTTTTTTTTTTCCATAATTTTGAAAGGTGTTACGTCCAAGATCAGAGGCTGGCAGATGCAGTTCTTGGTGAGGGCTTCCTTCCTGGCCCCTGAGGGTTGCCTTCTCCCTTATCTTTGCTTCCTGTTTTCCGAGGGACACACATCCCATCATGGGGATCTGCTATTATGACCTCATCTAAACCCAATTACCTCCAAGAGGCCCCTCCTCCTAGCATCACCACCTCCAGAGTTAGAGATTCAACATATGAATATTGGAGTGTGGGGCACAAACATTTAGCCCATAACACATGTTATTTCTGGAAGAAGTTAGCATAATTGAGATGATATTTTGATAACCCCAAAGGAAAAGGAAATTCTCAAAGGAATTCAGACCATTAACAGCTTAAATGACTATAACTTTGCCATTAAAATTTTGGCAACTCAAAATGTCAGAAATTAGGGCTGGGGTTGTGACTCTGCAGTAGAACGCTAACTTAGCACTTGCAAGGCCCTGAGTTCAATCCTCAGCACCATACAAAAATAAATAAATAAAATAAAGGTATTGTGTCCAACTACAATTGAAAAATAGATATTTTTAAAAAAATCAGAAATTATGCCATCTTAACAATTCCATATATTGTACAAATCTGTGAAAATTAGATATTCTAAAGGAACTATAGAGATCAGATAGATTATCTTGTCTCTTAATGAATATTGAGATGACTAGAAGCTGAGTGTTTTCATAAAATTAGTGATTATGAGTACAAACTGGTCCTAAATAGATGGCCTCTTTTTCTCTACTCATCCCCAGTAACAGCCATTTCAGCATCCCTAGGCAGAGCACTGTATTACTTAAAGATTTTCTTCTGTCATGCCTTATGTAGAGTGTATGTACGGTTTCCTAACAGTGTGATCATTCTGTAGAGCCAGCTGGAAGGAATCCCAAAGAACATTTTTCCCACCTCCTTCAGTTTGATATGGGGCAGCTGAGAAGTCCAGTGGCTAAGCAAGGGGTCTCATAGCTGGCAGAAGAACAATGCAGGAGAATGATGCAGACTTTGAGGAGGTCAGACTTGAAAGGACACTCAGCCTTTTTTTCAGCTGTGTGACCTTGAGACAAGTTATTTTAGTTTTCTAAGCCTTCAATTCCACATCTGCAAATTAATGATAATGTAAAGATGATATAAGGTAACAGATAAAGTGCCTGGTATATAATAAACACTCACCAGCCCCCCAATTTTTTGTTAGTAGGAGCTCAAGAACTAACAACCGCAATTCTTACCTCCCAGCACAGTGGGCTTTCCAATGCACTTTATGTTACATGAGTAACACTATTTTGAATTGAGACTAATAAGTACATTTTTAAAAACCTTGTCTTCCAAAATCAATCTGTTCACATTTTTAATAATGCAAGAAAAAAAGCTTGAAGTTGGCCCACAGAGATTTTTATGAACCAAAGGGTTATTTTTAATTGGATTTTGTGCCTGTTGTTATGGAAATAGTTGTTTCATAGATAAAGCATTACGATTTCACTGCAAGATCAAGCCCAGAATGGGGTATAACGATGATATCACCCTTATTCGTCTTTTTCTTGACACCATATCTCAAATTAAAAGAACAGGAGTGAAGCTGCTTTAAAAGTACATATTTCTAAGGAAAAAAAAAATCTCCCCTATAAAAATAGCTTTAAAATGATGTAATCTCTTTTCAAAGATCAAAACTAAGGATGACCCTTAGTGCCCAGAGGATGCTAAGCTGTTGCAGAGTTATTTAACATTTCTTTCTTTTCTATTGAAACTAGAAAGAGTTCCTCTGATCCTGGAACTTGCTTTCAACATTTGGTCTCACAGTATTTTTGCCGTTGCTGAGCCAATAGGTTTCCTCTCGTTATCCAATGATTAATCTCTCAAAACTGCTCTATCCAGAAGAGTTTTTATTCATGTCATATCTGGATGTATAATTTAACTTCTCTAAAGAAACACAAGAGACCATTTCTAATTTTAATGATGGTTGATACTCTTTAAAGAGTTGAGGCAATTCACTTTGCAATATAGTTAATATCCCTGGCTCATTTTAAGCCCCAGAAACATACCTACCAAGAAATAAAAAATTTAAATATGTCATTAGTACACCATAAGAGAGAAATCAAGGGTGGGGAGGATATCTCACAGTTCTAAAAGCAAACATTGATCTCATGTGAATGGGCCCCTAAGGTTTCTCTTGTTTCCCCCCTTTTTTTCCTTCTTTTTTTTCTTTCTCCTCCCTAGTCTGTATCTTTACATATCTTTACATATGTCCTTCAAGCATCTTTAGACATCAATTGGTTTTGTTGGATGAATTCGGTTAAAAAAATTGTGAACCCTAATTATTTTTTTTTTAATTTTTTAATTTTTATTTTTTTAATTTATTTTGCATTACAAGTCTTAAAACACCATTATACAAAAATTTATCATATCTCTAATTCTGATCCTCAGTCAGGGAAGTCATGAAATTCAACAATATTATGTCCTTCCTTAATTTATTGTGCCCATGAGATTTAGTATTTTTAAAAAAGGGGGGGAGAGTAATCCATCAGGAAATTATGTATATTTAACTTTATATTTTTCTAAATGAATCATAATGTTGGATTACTAGAAATACTTATTTCTAACATAATGTCCATTTATATTAAAAAACGTTTTCTTTGTTTTTACATTGAAGAGAGAGTCTAACTCGGTCATCTCAGTAATTTGCACTAAATACCTTTCTAAAGTGATGTCTGTCCTGGGTCTATCTAAATTCTATTTGCATAGGGTTTTGTACATTTGCTGGAAGTTTCTTTCTTAGTTGGCTGCACTGCTTGCCCTCTTTCTTTTGGGCGTTAGCTGGAAATCCCTTTCCTCCACTGTTGGCTAACACCACTTTCTCTCCTTCCAACTCAACCCTTACCTTTTATGGCTATATCTCATTTATTAGTTTTGTCCACCTCTGGTATATCAGTATGTTTCCCTAGATGTACAGAAGGGCCTCCACCTGTACAGATTTGCAATGCATGGATCACTTGGTAGTAAGGAGTTTTTTAGACTTAGTTTTTCAAAGGAAGAGTCCATAAATTAGGAGGCTGATGAATTTAGGAACTTGGTGATTATTGTAGGCATATGACGTAAGAGCCCAAGATCAGCCATCACACAAGCACAATCCCTGGAGCCTTCATGCCACAGACTAATCAGCCAGTTATCCATTCAGCTGGAAACTAATGGCCTGTGGTCAGGTGTCTCACACTTTGCATGATTATCACTGCTCCATTAGAAATTAAGTGATAACTGCAAAATCCTTTAAAATGTATGTGTATGAATTGGGAGGCTTCCCAATGCTATATTGACTGTGCCTATTTATGACAACAGGTTAATTCACTTGCCTTAGATCAATGCATAAGGTTAAAGATTCTAATCGTCACATTTGAATGTTTGTTAACTTGTCATTTTCCTTGCTTGCTATGACTCTAATGGGCTTGAAAAATTGGTCCACCAGTTTCTCTTCTCTCTCTCCTTTGTCTTCCTCCGCTTTCTCATTTCTTTCTCTCTTTCTCTCTCTCCTCTCTCTCCCTGACTCCCCCCTTTTCTTTGTCTCTTTCTCTCACTCTCTGTGAGGTTCATTGGCTTGACTAAATCTGAGTGTCCATAATGACTGTTTGGCATATTCTACAGGCAAAGGTCCCGAGACCCTTTTTGCTGGCTATAACCTCAATGATAATGAGTGGCACACTGTGCGTGTGGTTCGCCGAGGAAAAAGTTTGAAGTTAACGGTGGATGATCAACAGGCCATGACAGGTAAATGCCCTTGACTCCATTGCCTTTTCTTCTAATAAAGCTTCAGACTTTCTCATTTCCTGGCTGTGTGTTTTCAAACCAAGCCTCCAGCACAACGTGCAGCTTAGGCATCCAGACCTTTATTAACTCTGGATTTTCTAGCAGCGATTTGTTTCAATAAGCAGCCTTTTAGGTATTTGCTCCCAAGTGAACAGCATTTTTGATGTCATCTTCTTTGTCCTTTAATAATTCAAGAAGAAATTATGGCACATTTTAATCTCGTGGCCTGATAAATATCTTAGTGCCTCATAAAACATTGAAGTCACCGCTTGGATGCTGATTTCTGTTCAGTTTCTTTGTTTCTTGTATATTTGGGGGATGTACAGAAGCAAGTTCTGCTTTTTTTTTAGCTTCTAAGTAAATAGATGGATGGACAAGCCTTCTGACAGGTGAACTTGCCTTTTCACTTTAGGCTATAATAAATCATTTGGGGTTATTTAGCTAAGGAGATTAAACTCTAATATCAAGGATGTCAAGTTCTATCCCCAAGTTGTAGAATCTTGACTGAGGGGAGCAGTCCACCCTGGAGACCTCAAGAAGCCAAGTGATAGAGGAATCAACATACTTTCATTTTCTCTGAAAGTCAATCCAAGCATGTGACCCACAGGGATATTAGCCCCTTCTGTAGATCACATCTCCACGTTAATTACTTGAGTTTAGGCACAAGAAGGTTCTTGGGCAGAAGGGACAGGTCTTTGCTAGATTAAACCCCAGAGGGTTCCCATGCTCCAGACAGCCCACCCTCAATGTGGAGCTTGACCTCTTGAGGGAAAGGGGTCATTGTTTATGACCCCTTTGTTATAAACAATGACCAAATTACACCTCATCCCAAAATACTTCAGCATGCATTTTCTAAAGATCTGAACTCCCTTTACCTAACAAAGTAAAAGTTACCAACCTCAGTAAATTTTGGGTTGATGCAACGTGTTTTATCTCTTCTGTCCTCCATACTGCAGTTTTCTTAGTTCACTCAATGTGGTTTATATAAATATTTTTCCCTCTAGCACAATAAGCCCCGAAGAGTCAGATCACTTTGTTGTCCTGTCTCCTTAGTCTTCTTTAATCTACATTTCCATAAACACTCTTTGTCTTTTATGACATTGATATTTTTAAAGTATGTGATTCCTCTCCTACCTTGTACGAATGTAAAGTCACTCAGTTTGTGCTTATCTGATGTTTCTTCATGATTAAATTCAGGTTTAACATTTCTCAATGAAATACCACATTGTCAGTGTTGTGACCTTACAGGATCCTATCTGGAGTGCATGCAGGGAGGCACATGCCATCCATGTCCCTGTTGGTGGTTAAATCTGATTAGTAGGTCTATGTGTCATTCAGTTTTCACTGTATAATTATTATGTTTTCTCCCTGGCAATGATAAACTGTGGAGAGACAATAAGACCAAACCCACAGCCTTATACTTTATCAAAAATTTTCCCAGGGTTTTACATTTATCAAAGATCTTTTCCTAATTCAGTCTTCACCACAGTAGTTACAAAATGATTTTTTTCAAACTCCAGCACCCCTTCCACATTTACAGCCAACACTTATTTTCTCTGGCAATCCACAACCCTCCCATATCTCTCCCTTCTTTCTTTGTCTCTTTGATTTTTCCTTGCCCCTCCTTCCCTCCCTTCTTTATTGGTGTGGAACAACCAGATTCTACATTTTTCCAACAATTTATAATTACTCTTAATTATTTGGGTGCTCAAATTTTCCCTGTTTTAGCTAGTGTGAGTCCTGGCAAGCTGATAGCTACCATCCTTTGATATGCCCCAACTTCAATTTTATTTGTTTTAGTTCTTTCTTACTTTCTGGCATGACATGAAGTTTTGGGTACGACTTTTATTTATCATACTCCCCTCTTGGAATTAGCCATTTAGTTTCCTAGAGAGGAAAAGGTCTGGGCAGAAAGGTGTACCCCACACTGCTGGGGTCCGCTTCCTGACCATTTCATCAGCACAGATAGGGATATACATTCACCTGCACATTCATATAAATACACACACGTGCATCTAAATTACATGTGTGCTTAAATGTGCACATACACATATTTTGACAACATGAATTCACACTGGTACCTTCATACCTGAAGCATTTTTTGTTCATTTTCCACATTCTGTATTTCCACCTTTTAGGCCAAGTTAAGAATCTTGACTCCTAGAGATCTCATTTATTTATTTGCTCATTCTTATAATGCATCTGAAATCATTTCAGAATTGCTTTGCCCATACCAATATAATCCAATAAATGAACTAAAAGTAATTCAATGTTCATTCATGATTCTTCTTCCCATTCCTCCCTGCCTACAACTCAACATATATATTCACATGCTGAGTTTATCAATAATGTGGGTTAGTCATTTAATTCATTTCCTCCTTCCATTCCATCCTTCATACCTTCTTTTTTGTTAAAGATCTCATGAAGGATACAATTCTTGATAATAAAAGCTCACCTAGATTTATGTACAATAAAAATGGTTTCCAAAAATAGCAAGGGGAACTTGCCATTGGGCTTACATTTAGAATGGGACATTTTTCTAACACCATAGCGACCATTCAAAGCTGCCCTGAATTGTCAAAGCAAATGGGCTTTTGCTTATTAAATAATGCAATCTGAATTTTTAAAAAAAGATCTTAAACAGGAAGGCACTAGCAACCTTTCACATGAGGTCATGCATTTCCCCACATCTTCAACAGGGCAGTACATACTCAGTCTGTCCCTCACCCAGGGTGGCAAGGTCAGGAGTAACTAGCAGAGAAACCCAAGGAAGGTCTCACATGGGAAAGGACTGTACAAAATACATTGGATCCCTACATGGAGAGGACTTGGTTTTCAACTCATTGCTTTGTTCAAAAGTTCTGGAATCGTGTGTGTCTGGGCTTGTATGTGTCCTCACTGAGTAGAGTGAACCATACATCCAGTTACTCAAGCCTGAGAGCCAGGAACCAAGGCTTCCTGCCTCCCCATCATCCTGCACATTATTAGTAAATCCTGCAGCTTATGTCGGCAAAATTATCTTATTTTGTCCAATTCCTGTTACAATTACGTCATTCTAACCTATTGTACCAACAAAAGGGCATACACACACACACACACACACACAAAATGAGGTGAGAGATCTGCCCTGGGCCTCCTTTCCATCTCATGTGAGCCACTAACCTCTGGGGCTCAGGACTCTCACTCTGGCTCCTCCCAAAGGCTTTGTTCAGCTGTCTCCTCTTCCTAGAATCCACTTCTTCCTGTCCCTTCCCCAGTTTTTAGCCTGGCTTCTTCTTAATTCTTCAGATCTTATTTAAATATGATCTCAGGCACCTGCTCCAATTCCTCTGACGCTGACCCACCTGGATCATCAGATTCATAGCATTTTCTGAGTGTCAGTATTTATTTAGTTATATGCTCCCCTCTTTTTGTCTGCCTTTCCCCAGTGGACTGTGAGTTGTGTGAACACAGGGCCCTATCTGCTGCCCTCCTGTTTCCTCATTGCCTAGCACAGCACCTGGCATATATACTGCACCTGCAATGACTTTAAATGAATTAACCAATAGATTTAAGGCTTAGGAGCTATTTTGTTCCATATCAGAAATTTAATCTAATTCAGAGCAAGGCTGAGCCTGAAATAATTTATCTTGTCATCTGTTTTGACTTGGATATTGTCCTTTCTACGCAAACACACCATTCAGAAAACATAATCATTGTTTTTTTTATTTTCCTTTGCTATACTGGGGATTGAACACAGGGGTGCTCTGCCACTGAGCTACATCCCTAACCTTTTATTTTTATGTATTTTTCTTTTTAATTTTGAGGCAGGGTCTCTCACTAAGTTACTGAGACTGTCCTTCAGCTTTCTATTTTCCTGACTCAACCTCCCAGGTATCTGGCATGACAGGTGTGCCCCACCATACCCAGCTTATAGTTTTTTCTCATTGGAGGTTACTGTGAATCTGGTATGTCCTAGACACCATGATTGGAGGAATATTAAGATTTCTAAATTCTCTTGCCCACTCAATGTCTAGAAATGACAGTGCATTTTTAAATGGTTAGAACCATAAAAATCTTTCTTCATAAAATTTTCCTCCTTTAAAGCTTTTTACTTTTTCTTATTTACATGACGTACATTACATATACAACAGTAGAGGTAATAGCATTACTGATGAAGATTAAACTCAGGAGTAAATTATAAATTCACTCTTTTGTTGTTGTTGTTGTTGATAGGATGGGACCTCAGGCCTCACACATACTAGGGAAGCACATTACAATTGAGCTATATTTCCAGCCCAGAAAATAACTTTTTAAAAGGCAATGTTTAAGCCGGGCATGGAGGCACATGCCTGTAATCCCAGCAACTCGGGAAGCTGAGTCAGGAGGATTACAAGTTCAAAGTCAGCCTCAGCAAATTTAGAAAGGTCCTAAGCAACTTAGTAAGACCCTTTCTCAAAATAAAAATAGAAAAGGCTAGAAATATGGCTCAGTGGTTAAGCACCTCTGGGTTCAATTCCCAGTTGGAAAAACAAAAGAAAGAAAGGCAATGGTCAATGTTTTCTAGGTGTTAATTCCCCCCCCAGCCCCGCCCATGAATAAGGCTTTTCTGCCATCAATGTCTGTGTGGTTATATATGCTTAATATAGTGAAAGTGGGCTTTTGAGCATAGACCATGCTGTTTTTGTCTTGTGACTGGGCCATTGTTGCCTCAACACTATTTTACTACCTTTTTATTATTTATGCTCTGCATAAATATTCTATTCCTTTGAGGAAGGAAAGCAGATATTAAGTGTTATTTTTGTCACTGAACTTCTCAGTCCTACTAAACAAAATGTTCTTGTCTATTTTAGAGTTGCCAAGAAGTTGACAATTTAGAGTGGTATTTAGTTTCAAGTATTAGAATTTTTTTTTTCTGGATATTTTCTTATTGTTGGCTGTTGACTAATAGAGGCTTTAAGAAGGAGCATGGCAGTATCAGGATTGGGCTGGGGTCCACTGAGTTAACACTCAAGATTTTAAAGCAGCAAAAAAGATAAAAATCAACACCAGGGATACCCAAACCCAGGTGATTTTTCATATTCTCTTCATATTCATTCTACATTGCTTATTAATTCAATGCCTCTGGTGTCCCTGGAGCTTTATATTTGGAAATTATTAAAGTTTGATTTTATTTGCTACCAAGGAGGGGAGAACCCTGCAGAGCAGTTTCAAGGTCATTGAATAAGAAGAACTATAGGAGATGAGGCGATGTCATAGGAGAGCAAGAATTGCAAGGATTGTAACAGTATTTTGCATCAGATAGACTCTCAGAAGACATGGCATGCAGAGAAGACCTGATTACTTACAGTGACACCTTTGTTTTACAAAGAAGTGTGTAGAGTGGTAATCAGAATAAACCAATAGCCAAAGAGAGAACATGGGGAGGATGCCTGGAGTGATATCAGAAAGGATTAAGGATGACTAAAGAGTGTTTGAAAGTTAGGTAAAGTACAATTCAGGGATTTTTTTTTTTTTTTACAGCAATGAGCTTATGATCAACAAAGTCAATTAAATATGTAAACAGTTTTTCTTACACATCAAAGGGCACATCTTTTATGTTCCACATATAGACAATTCCTTAAGATACCACCTAATATTTTACTGTTTTGCTTAAAGACATGGAGGGCTGTCACACTGGTTTCAGAACCCATGTAGGTGGGCTGTTCAGTCTTCATAACACCTGGGAAGAAGCCCAGGGGTTCAGCCCATTTTATCAAGGGATGATTCTGCAACTGGCTCTATTAATTATGTTCATAATATCCTGGATGATAGGCTAGGGTAAGCTTAGTAAATTTTCCAATTATGCAAAAATTGGGCAGGGAAGCTAGTCAGGAATCTGGCTGGAAGAACTTGATTGTAATTTAAATGACCTTTTTGACTTGCAGCAGAGAGTGTAATTAGACAAAAACATGATGCTAGGGTCTGGGGTTTTGGCTAGGTGGTAGAGTGCTCACCTAGCACCCCGTAGGTGCTGGGATCGATCCTCAGCACCACATAAAAAGTAAAAAAAATAAATAAATAAAGGTATTGTGCCCAACTATAACTCAAAAAAATAAAAATAAAATAAAAGTAAAAAAAGAACAGGATGCTAGGAAGGAACTACTAGTAAAGAGTACCCAGAACTAAGTTGGCTTTGATGAATTTGGGAAATCTGGGGGAATGAAGATTGGGAAATCAGCAGCACTGACTAGTGAATCACTAAGTCAATCCCCAGCTTCCTGCGAGGATGTTTCAAGATTGTACCTTGTAGTAATGTAGCAAAATGTGATGGTATTCTCAATTTGCTTATGCTTTAAATGAGTACATTGTGCTCAGTGTGGTTATCCAAAACAAAATGATGCCAGGAAAATGGCATTGTTCCAGAGAGTCAAAGATTTCTGAAGTATGTGAGAGAACATTTCCTCAAAGAAAGACTGCTAGCATACTTGTCACAGGAAAGGAAGAGTGAAAATAATATATTTAACTTTAACCTATTTTTATGGTCCACTATTGGAAAAAGAGTCAGTAACTCTTCACTCTTTCTATTAGTATAGGAACAAATAGAATTATATGTTTTTCTGGGAAAAATATAAAGAAAAATATCACTTAAAGCTGTGATGTAGCAATTTCTACTGGGATGATTTAGGACAGTCATCATCCTTGATTCCTTTCTCCCTGCTTGCCTTTCACCTTTTCTTTCTCTTTCCTCTCCTCTTATTCATGTCTTCTCCTCTATTGTTTCCTTCCTTCCTTCCTTCCTTCCTTCCTTCCATCCTTCATCTATCTATCTATCTATCTATCTATCTATCTATCTTATCTATCTATCTATCTATCTATCTATCTATCTATCTATCTATCTATCTATCTATCTATCTTATCTATCTATCTATCTATCTCTTTCTCTTTTTCTTTCTCTCATTTTCCAGAAATTCTGAAACATTTTTATTGAGGATGATTTTTAATAAGACTAAAATTTGAACAGGAATTCAAACCTGACCCAAGAACATTTTGTTACAAAAGCCAGCCTTAGCCCGTAACCTGTGTACACATCAACTATGTGTACTTACTATATGTAACTATCAAGGATGATGTGGGATTCTTATATTTTAAAATGTGATATTGCTATGGAAGTCTGCATTTGAAAGTAACTTTCAGATTCAGAAAATGATAATAATTTGTTATCTTTTACTTTAGGTCAAATGGCAGGTGACCATACAAGGCTGGAGTTCCATAACATAGAGACTGGCATCATCACAGAACGTCGGTATCTTTCTTCTGTCCCCTCCAACTTCATTGGACACCTGCAGAGCCTGACCTTTAATGGAATGGCATACATTGACTTATGTAAAAATGGTGACATCGATTATTGTGAGCTCAATGCCAGATTTGGCTTCAGGAACATCATAGCAGACCCTGTCACATTCAAGACCAAATCGAGCTACGTTGCCTTAGCTACCCTGCAGGCCTACACTTCTATGCATCTTTTCTTCCAGTTCAAGACTACATCCCTTGATGGGCTAATTCTATATAACAGTGGGGATGGAAATGACTTTATCGTAGTTGAATTAGTTAAAGGGTAAGTGTATGTTGGCTCAATGACAAATAAATAAAACTTCAGACAAGCGGACCTCTAGTTCAAAAAAATACATGTGAAACAATGTGCTGGCATATAAGGTGGTAAACAGGAACAGGGACCTCATAAATGAGGAATTAAATAAAAATGGATTCAGTACAGTCCTTTATATAGACATCTCCACAGATGAAGTCCAGATAACATCAAGTTCTAATTTATTAGGCCTTCTATAAAAATCACACTTTCACTGTGTATTTCCTCATTATGCAAAATATATTCTGCAAAAGAATTTATACAAGACTATAGGACAATCTCTGCTAATTCAAGTATTCAGATTACTTGAATTTTACTAAATCTCACTTAATTTAATTTTATGACAGAGTTGAATAATTTAGAAAGGATTTTTTTTAATAAAATTTCTTTGGAAGTAGGATGAAAAACTGATGACTTTATTTATTTGGACATTTATCAATCACCCATTTAGTGGCTGTTATTGCATATTTACAATAGGCCAAATACATAAAGTTCCAGAACATTTCATTTCCAATATAAAAACAGGGATTCTAGAAAGGGGGTGTAAGAAACTGAGAACCACCATGCAGTGTGGTGAGCAGATAATGGAGAGAGAGTTGGGAATGTGGAAAGCATATTGAATGATCCTCCCTTCTGCTGAAATGGAGTAGTTTCTTCCCCTCTGATTAGCCTCACAGAACTCATGCTCAGGACTTCTAGCAAGGGTGGAGCCACCTGTAAAAGACTCAAATCACCATTTGTAATACCTGACTTGGGGCTGGGGATGTGGCTTAGAGGTAGAGTGCTTGCCTGACAGGTAAGAGGCTGTGAGTTTGATCCCAAGAATCCCCCCGCCCCACCAAACATGTGGCTTGACTCCATCAAAACATTATGACACTTTCCTCTCTTTCATTTTCTCCTCAGGTACTTACATTATGTGTTTGATTTGGGAAATGGTGCTAACCTCATCAAAGGGAGTTCTAATAAACCACTCAATGACAATCAGTGGCACAACGTGATGATATCAAGGGACACCAGCAATCTCCACACTGTAAAGATTGACACAAAAATCACAACACAGATCACCGCAGGAGCCAGGAATTTAGACCTCAAGAGTAAGTACCCGCTGAGTCAGAGGCACCAGCATCACACCACATGGCCAGCACACAAGTGGAAAATCCCTTGCTTATAGATGTGTACACGCCTCTGTGTTTGTGTGTATGTGTGTGTGTGTATGTGTGTGTGTGCGCGCATGCGCACACATGCACGTGCATACTTCTTCTGCAGAGGCTGACCAGAATTTCATTTCCAGAACATAATTAATAATACAACACACAAGGCTCTGTTCTCACTTTAATGTGAAAGAACATATGTATTTTTAATACCAGCTCAAAAAAAATGCAACACCTAAGAATGCATGCATGTTTAAAATTTAAAGAGTGAGAAAAATGTACTCATCATCTTGATATCATAAGGAGAAATTGCGTATGCAAAGTTTCCTTAGTCCCCGCAGTTTTCAGTTGATTCAGAGTCAAGGTAACCAGACATATGAAGAGTTTCTGCCAGCGTTTATTACTTTTCTTTCCTTGGTGAGATTTCGGAGATGCTTTTAGACCCTCTGACCAACAAGAGTCTGAGCTTGGATTATCCCAGGTCTCCAGCAGGGAATTCTATTTCCTCCCCCAACTCCTTAACACACACACACACACACACACACACACACACACACACACACTGACACATATGTGCAGGAATACTTCTTTCACCAGCTGTTAAGAAAGTCAAACAGACCTCTTCCTTTCTTATTAATATTTGATTTCTTGAGTGAGCAAGGAAGAATACTTAGAAGGTATGTCGATAATAGGAAATAACAAAGTTTCTATTTGAATGAAACTTTGTGATTGACTAAGAACAGTATCCAAACATCCCATCTGATTTAACACAATCACAAGCATTGGGGAAGTATCATTGGCAGGTTATTCTGAATATGGGAAATGTGTTTGAATGACTTGCCCACAAGGAAAAAAAAAAAACTACTAGGCAGAAAGCAGCAAACCTTGTTCTGCCCTCCCTCTCTCTCTCTCTCTCTCTCTCTCTCTCTCTTGCCTTCTGTTCCATCCTGATACATTTCAGAGCCCTGGAGATAACATTGCAGGCATAGTTTACTCAAAAGGAGCTGCTCATTTATATTGATGGGATTTTCCCCTTTGATTTAAAGGGTAAACAAACCATGGAGTCAGGCAGCTAGAATGAGAAAACCCAACAGAACTCTTTCTAGAGAAAAATACTTTTTCTAAATAAGGGGAAAGATGAAAGAAAAGTGTTCCACTTTCTGTAATTGCAGAATACATTTACTTTTTATTTGCCCAGCACCTAAAATGTGTAGTAATGGCCATCTCCCTTTTTCCACAGTGGCCTCTTGTTAGCTTCAAAGAGATCCTGTTGGTGCCCACAAATCTAATAGCTTAGCTCAAAAAATTACATGAAATTCAAAGAAAATGCTGTGTAACAGCCAGACCTCATTCTCTTTCTTCTCTCTGACTGGGGGGAACAGAGTGGGTTTTGTCCTTTTTGGAGGGTAACCCTGTTTGGCACAGAGGACTCGGTGGTGATTTTCAAAAGTGAGCATAACAGGAGACTGTGATAGGATTCTTTCTGGTATGGGTAGGTGTAGGCTACCATTATAAATCTTAGAAACCTACACAGATGATTTTTCTTAAAACATGAAATGTTTCTTAATTCTGAATTTAAGAAAGGATTTTCCCATGATAAAACTATGAAGTATATAGCAACATATTATACAATATTAAGATATCAAATATTGAATGCTTAGTAATCCTTGGCTTTTTTTAAAGTAACATTTAAATTAGAGTTGAATTTCCCAAATGAACAATTTAGATTCTTTACCAACAATTATCCCCTTAAACTTTATGAAATTCCTAAGTGTTTACAGACTTATCAGACCAAACCAAAAAATGACAGCAAGTCCCTAAAATCAGGCTGAGGTTTGGGCTTATAAAGTAAGTGTGCATGATCCATTGGCAGCAATGACCCCAAAAAGCCCTCTTGCTGTGTGTGTCATGAACCCACGTCAGGTGGGGAAAGAATGTGGTCTGGGGTATGACATCCATCTCCACCATAAGCACCTTTTGGTATGTATGGCTATAGGCACTAGCCACAGGTGAGTTCTTACTGAGCTCTGACCCTGTGCTAATAGTGAAGAGCAGAGTTGGGAAGAAAATGACAGGGTCCTGTAATGAAGAGCTCCTGTGTCCCAGAGCAGATTGATGTTGAGGGATCAAATAGGACTGAGAAGGGCTAGACATTGTGAAACTATATCAGGGCATTGTAATTCATCTGGGAGCACCAGGAAGACTTCTTGAAGAAGCAATGCCCAAGAGACATCTAAAGTATGAGTAAAACCAACTAGGAATCCTTTCTTCTTCCCACCTGCCTATTCATAGGAGTGTGGGAGGGGCTTATGTGGACAAAGAAACTTCTACATGAACCCTTTACCCTGAATCCAGCTGCATTATTTTCCTCGTGCCAGTCATGTAGGATTGAGGCACTCTAAATGCAGGGAAAAAAATGGAATTTTTCTTATTTGGGTCAATTGTTTTATTTTATATGTGTTTTCCCTACGAAATATACTTACTGTTAAAGAATTAAAATTATCAGATTTATTCTGTACCTAGGTCAAAGTCATTGTTATCATCTTAGGTTCTTCTCAAAGGGAGGCCAGTCCTTAACTACTTTCAGAATCATGTGGTGGTATTAGCAAAGTACAGATGTCTAGATCCCACTGCAGGCCAACTGAGGTAGTTATCATTCAGGGAGGATGTTCGAGGAATAATGATTGTCTGCAGTTTCAGGGAGGTCTCCCTGATCTAGATGCCATGGTTGTACGATGTGGGGCACATTTAATTCACTTTTACTTTTTCATATAAATACTGGCTTTGCTTTTTACACTCTATTTTTTTACTGATCTCATGCATGCTAGGCAAACACTCTACCACTGAGTTACACCCTCAACCAAATTTATTTTTCTTTTATGTTAGAATTCCACTTTTGCTTTTCCTGTCAACCACTGAAGTCAGGTTTATTGGTGGATTTTAGAATTTTTCAATTTTTTTTCCTCACATTACTATACCTTAAAAGAACACTAGAGGGCAGCATAAGGCCACAAACCACGCTTTCTGGTGGTGGTAAGGGACCTCCTTTGGTGCTGGGAAGGAAAATTTCTTTGTTTTCAGACATCTAAAATTCCACATTTAGCCTTCACAGTAATTCTAGCTTTTGTCTGTGGCTCTGTTTTATTTTATAGATAGAACTTTAGTGTAGAAATTTGAAAGCTAGGGGCCATGTATTCTGTTCCCTACCTTGATTCCCATGGAGATGGTCATAAATGGGCAGGAATCTAATGATCTTTCTCTGAGAAGAGGAATCCCATGCAGGTGACCTTGTTCAAATTATCTTTCGTGACACTGCCAGATTCTCAGGGGGTTGTGTGTCTCTCCCTGCTGATACAGTTTTGCTTTCATCTTTATTTCCCAGCTGTTTGTGTTATATTTCCCCTGGCTATTATGTACAAGCTGCAACATACAATGAAAGGAGCAACATAAATTTGCTCTCTAGAGTCACTTCCTAACACAGCACTGATTTCATTTGGGGACTTTTGTGTCCTGCCCCCTTTAGTGGGATAAAGGGTTGCTTTAATTCCTCCTTATGTTTCTTCTTTTGTTCCTATATTTGGCAAAGTTGTATGTTTGTGTGTGTTTATATATGGGAAGGAGCTAATATTTATCCAGTCCTTACTAAATACCAAGTACATTTAAATGAGGTTATTGTATGCAATCCTTCTGATTACCCAGGGATTTGTATTGAGGTCAGTCTTGCTTATTTGTTAATCTAGTTCAAGAACAAAAATAGAAAGGAAGAATCATTTGGGGTTGCCATTTTCCATAGGTACCCTTCTTTAGAATATTAACCTAAATGTATCATTCAGCAAATTGAGGATAAATCGTTCTTTTTAATGGGGAGAAGAATAAAGATTCCTGGGTGCATAAGACAGAGAGCCCTCAGGTGGCCACTTAGTGAAACAACATGAAATGAGCATTTATTTCTGGGCCACTTCTAGGTCAACCCAAGCAGAACTTGGTCCTTTCTTCTTCCTTTATTCTCTCTCTAACTAGCTCCCCTTTTAAAAAATTTGTCTCAAAGGCCCTTGAGCCCTTGTGCTATCTAATGATCTTGTTGCTTTCCCTTTTACCCTCTGTCTCCTCCTTAAACTTCCTCACATCCTTCTTTAATCTCACCCTGAAGCTATCTGTATCTTTCTGCTGAGTCTGTAGAGTCTCCCAATCAGAAACAACTAACAAGTGTTGTCCATTTAAACATATCCCATCTCTAAGAAAACTTGAAGAGAGATAGTAGTCTTTTCTTCTTGATCTCAGGCCAGTCTGTTACCCCAATGCCCACCTTCTCCAGTCCTGAATAGAAGTCACATCTTCCCATTTTCCAGCCTTTCATATTGCTATCTGGAAAATGTCCATGAGGCAGCCCAGTGAACCAGATTGTATGCAGAAGTCCTATCCTGTTTAGGCATGCCCAAGCTTTGTGTATTCAGCCCACAGGAAATCTGATTGCCCACCTGCCTTGCCTAGATAATTGGCTTAAATAGAAAATGTTCAGAGAAGAGTTGGACATTTAGCTTAGCCTTTCAGCAGGATATGACATTGAAAATGGAAGGAGGGTCCTATGGTCCTGTAGGTTGGCTGTCTTTATTAGAGTTCTTTTTTTTTTTTTGTAACAGAAAGAGAGTTACTAACATTACTTCGGATTGTGGGAGATTATTTTAAGTATCCACTAGGAAATTAGGAAGATAGGGAACTTTCAGATGCTGAACAATGAGGCCACTCAGAGGATGACAGCTTCGTTCTAACCTTCATACTGGAACCTCATAAGCAACCCTCTTAGGGTGTTCCCTTGCATCTGCAAACGCTCTGTTTCCCAATCCATTGCCCCACCGTTATCGCAGCTTGGAGACCTCTCTGTGTTTGTCCACTGGCACTAGTGGGAGAGCACTTGTCTATGGCCCCTGGATTCCCTGCTCTTG